ATCTTTTTTGCCTGTAAACAACAAGGGTGAAAACTTGATGTAAAGTACAGAGGACAATCCAACAGTAATCAATTAATGGATTTCCGGTATTTTGTGTGACTCGCATAGTTAGGGTCAATAAAACTAATAAACCCGTGGACTTGCAACAAGGTTGCTGGTAATTAAGCACAAAGCTACACAATGGGCTATCTGTGCTCTGCCCACTACGGGTCTCGAAACCCAGTTTCTAGCGTTATAATTCCGTAGACATGCCGCTGTGCCACTGGGGGGGGGGGAACTTGCAACAATTTGGTGCATTAATAGTTTAAAAAAATGGATTTAAAAGAGTTTCATGGCCCCCGTCAATAAATCTAGGGTTAAAGGCATTCTTACAGAATTCATTGCACCTCAATCATTCCACTAAAGGAATACGAGTAATCATCGCAATGAGCTAACCCTAACACTTTTTTTCTGTTACTGTTTTAACAAATTCTATCTTAATTCCTTTTTTTTCTCCAACATTTGACCATAAATTCACTATCTGCAAGACGTACAAAGAAATTTATTTGCATCATATGATTGGAAGTTTCTAGCCTAAAAGGCATCTTAAGCGCAATGAATTAAATGGTCAAGTCAGGTTCCATAAGAACTGCTAAACTACTAATGAGGTGAAAGACAGTTAAAAGCACTAGCCGCCACCAGGGCTTTATCTTTCTCTTTGAATTAAACTGACTGTCACTTTTGTAACGCACACACAGCTGGGAATACAGTTCAGCGACATTATGTCTCGAGGCCTGGCATGGCCAGGTGGTTAAGGCACTCGACTCGCAATCTGAGGGTCGCGGGTTCGAATCCCTGTCACACCAAACATGCTCGCCCTTTCAGCCGTGGGGGCGTTATAATGTGACGGTCAATCCCACTATTCGTTGGTAAAAGAGTAGCCCAAGAGTTGGCGGTGGGTGGTAATGACTAGCTGCCTTCCCTCTAGTCTTACACTGCTAAATTAGGGACGGCTAGCGCAGATAGCCCTCGTGTAGCTTTGCGCGAAATTCAGAAACAAACAAACAATGTCTCGAATCCTAGACCCTTCGATCAGCAGCCCGACATGCTAATCAATCACTAAAACGCTGCTTAATAGGTTTGACGTCAGTTTTTCTTTTCATTGTTATTTTACAACGCTGAATAATTAGTTTTTCTTGCCATTGTTACTTTACGTTGCATAACAAAAGTAAAGTCACATTTTTTTCCCATTTTTACGTAACAAAACTGCATAATCTTTGCTCAGTTTGAAGGGCTGAAAGTTTTAACTGTTCAATTTGCCACAACAATCTTATTTATTGATGTGATAATTATTTTCCAAACAACTTAAAACCTAATCAGGCTTATGACGTAAGAACAGATTTCGAGTATGGAAAGTACGTATTAAACGTACCGAAGTAATGTGAAATCTGACCAAATACGAAAATAAACCTATCACAGTCTGCTGAAAGTCTGACCAAATACGAAAATAAACCTATCACAGTCTGCTGAAAGTCTGACCAAATACGAAAATAAACTTATAACAGTCTGCTGTAAGTCTGACCAAATACGAAAATAAACCTATCACAGTCTGCTGCAAGTCTAACCAAATACGAAAACAAATCGATCACAATCTGCTGAAAGTCTGACCAAATACGAAAATAAACCTATCACAGTCTGCTGAAAGTCTGACCAAATACGAAAATAAACTTATAACAGTCTGCTGTAAGTCTGACTAAATACGAAAATAAACCTATCAGTCTGCTGCAAGTCTGATGAAATACGAAAATAAACCTATAAAGTCTGCTGAAAGTCTGACCAAATACGAAAATAAACTTATAACAGTCTGCTGTAAGTCTGACTAAATACGAAAATAAACATATCAGTCTGCTGCAAGTCTGATGAAATACGAAAATAAACCTATAAAGTCTGCTGCAAGTCTGACCAAATACGAAAATAAACCTATCACAGTCTTCTGCAAGTCTGACCAAATACGAAAATAAACCTAGAATAGTCTGCTGAAAGTCTGACCAAATACGAAAATAAACTTATAACAGTCTGCTGCAAGTCTGACCAAATACGAAAACAAACCTATCACAGTCTGCTTGAATTACAGTTGACTCGTTTAAGCGCAAAGCTGCGTAAAAAGTTATCCATACTGCGCAGAGATCGAACCCCTAACGTCAGCGTTATAACTCCTCAAAAGCGCCGAGTCGCAGCGGGCCTTCACTTATGATAGACTGATTCATTTCGTTAAAACCTAAATTCACGACAGTCAATAACAAGATCCCCCACCCCCTGAATCACCCAAAGTTACTTAAACATCGGACATCATTTTCATGCTCATATATAATTACACTGAAAACACATAAGAAAAATTAATTTTTTTTTAGACACATCATTACAGACTTGGTACCGAGATAGATAGATGCCTATATGTTCGTTACACGGTTACGATTTATTTCGTTAGCACGATTAGCAGACCCGAGTTTCAGCCATTTGTTTTTCATATCAATTATTATAGCATGGCCAGGTGGTTAAGGCACTCGACTCGCAATCTGAGGGTCGCGGGTTCGAATCCCTGTCACACCAAACATGCTCGCCCTTTCAGCCGTGGGGGCGTTATAATGTGACGGTCAATCCCACTATTCGTTGGTAAAAGAGTAGCCCAAGAGTTGGCGGTGGGTGGTGATGACTAGCTGCCTT